CTCAGGTCATTCGCTGAGGTCCAAAATCTCAAGTTAACAAAACTACAGAAAAGGATAGGAATTGTCAACCAGCACTGCTTCATTCTTTGAGGTAAGATGATTTCTTTTTAAGTTCAAAATGGGCAGGTCACCCGATATTGGGACCATTCATTAGAAAAGCGTAGAGTTTTCAAAAAAAAATAATATGAGCAGGTCACCCGATATTGAGACCATTTCTTAGAAAAACGTGGAGTTTTCTAAGAATCTTAAGATGGTTAGGTCACCCGATATTGAGACCATTTCTTAGAAAAGCGTGGAGTTTTCTAAGAATTTTAAGATGGGCCGGTCACCCAATATTGAGACCATTCCTTAGAAAAACGTGAATTTTTCTAAAAAATTTTAAGAGGGGCGGTTACCTGATATTGAAATTGTTTCTTAGAAAACGTGAAGTTTTCTAAGAATTTTAAGAGGGATCAGTCACCTGATATTGAAACCGTTTCTTAGAAAAGCATGGAGTTTTCTAAGAATATTAAGAGGGGCCAGTCACCTGATATTGAGACTATTTCTTAGTGAAGCGTGGAGTTTTCTAAGAATTTTAGGATGAGTAGGTCCCCCGATAATTGGACCTTTTCTAAAAAAAAAACATGGAGTTTTTCCAGATAGGCAGGTCACTTGATAGGAAAACCATTGTTTAGGAAAAGCATTGAGTTTTAGTATGATCAGACAATTTATCTTTACAACACTTACTACGCGAAACACTTGACAAGTTTTGCTTCGTAAGCATTGTAAAGAGAGAGCATCTGTTGTTACTCAATTTTGGACCCCATGTGTTAGAGATGGTGTATACCCGTTTTGAACCAAGTGTGGGAGTGTATCTTATGTTTGCTAGAAAATTGACAAAAAGTGAAAAAAAAAAAAGGTTCTGTTGTTGTCGCAATTTTTTATTTTGTTCCAACTTAGGCTCTGATTCTGACTTGGTTTCGTACAATATCTGACAATCCTAGCTATATTTTGTCACTCATGACATGTTGAAAAATTGACCTATACCTTTATTAGGTCCTAGGGCAGATTCTCAGTCAGATTTGGATGCTTTAGCATTGTCAGATCAAGAACCTTTTTGACCAACTAGATCACTGCCAGATTCTGTTCTCTAAAATGATTTTATCTCACTTCGACTCTTTCATCAAAGTTATAGTCCTAGACGCGTAGATGATTTTGGGCTTTAAATCACTTGATTTTGATATCAGAAGCTCAAGATATTCCTACTTGAATATCTAACGTGAAGGTAGAGAATTCTGCTGCGAGAAGGATATTGACTCGAGTCTGCACTAAAAAATTTCTATTTTTGGCTTAGTTCTTGTGATTTTTTTTCTTAGTTCATACTCTCAGTTATGTTAGGATTCTCGGCAT